ACGTCCAGGCAGGTTGATTGAGCTTTTGACAGGGTCTTTTCACCAAGAGCATCATTTGAAAAATGGCAAATGTCCAGGTAGGAATGTGTTCCATTAGTGCATTTCTGACATAAGAAAACTAACACCAACTTGACAAGAATTTGAGAAATTTAATTTCTATTGCTACGAAGCACCAGAATCCTGTTTGAGTGGGTGCTGATGGGTTTATGAGTGTCTCATCGAGTTCAAGTCAGTGTGAGAAATAGCGCCTGAGATTAAGGGGAAGCTGTAATAGGAACTAAGACCCAATTCTCCAGCGACTGAAATTGTATGGCCTTCCACTTTCAGGAAAGATGTTTGCTGGCCTGCTTATGGCAGACGCACTAGTTCCCTGCAGCCACCCAAGATTCTCTCCAAGCTCTAAGTGTGCAAGGAGGAAGTGAGGACTGGTGTCTGAAATACCTCATATCTGGAAAACCAAGGGTGACTACTCCTGTGGGGGGGGGGGGGGCTAGCAAGAGGTCTTGGCCTCAGGCTCACTGTGTTGGTCAGTTCTCTGTTACTGTGACAGAATACTTGAGAAAGTCAACCTAGAGGAGGAAAGATTTATTTTAGCTCATGGTTTCAGAGGCTTCAGTCTATAGTCACTTGACCCTATCTCCTTAGGCCTGTGATGAAGCAGAACACCATGGTGAATGAGCACAGCAAAGGGAACTGCCCATCTCATGACGGCCAGAAAGCCAAAAGAAAGAGGAAGGGTCTAGGACATCTTGCAACCACATAATAATCACCACTACTGAGGGCCAGGGATACCTGCAGCCCCTTCTACCCTCATAGATCTCTTATTATGGCGACTAAGACCACCCTCTTTGTTGATTTGGGGGTTTTCCCCCTAAGCTAGTTGAGCATTTCTGAGCATTATCTACTATTTAGGCTTGAATCAGTCCTGACAAATTCTCTAGGGCTCTCTCTATAAGTATCCTTCACCCAATATCTGCCTGAGTATTTCCTTTTGCTAAGGCTTGGGTGTCTCAGAAACATCCCACAGGTCACCTTGCAGTGGGGCTAAAGGAATGAACAGCTTGGAATGGACAAGTGGAAGGTGCCGAGCAGTTATACTCTAATGTCCCAAAATGCAATGAGATGGGGACCCACTGGTACATAATGGTGGAAGGACTGCTCTGAACTCTACCTGCTGAGTCTGTGGGCCATAGGGAGGCACTGATGGCTTTTGAGCAGAGCGAAGGCATACCATGTTCTGCAAGAGGCAACAGGAGATTTATAGGCACCACGGGCAAATGGAGAAGCGGCCACATGAGAGAGGGATGGGCACCTGGGATGGAGAGGAGGGAGAGCTTTCAGGGGGTGACAGAAGGGAATTTTGGGCAACAATTCATGCCTCTGCTTGAGGTATCATTCTTATAACCCACAGACAAAGAGCAGAGGTAGGTGACACTTAGGGGCAGAATGGGCACCTACAGCACTGAAGGGGTCTGCAAGACATCCACTCAGAATCATCAGTTCAGAGGTGCAAAACCTAACCTCAGCATGGGTGGGCTCCAGAGCCCTCCAGCCCAATCTCTCATTGAGGCCCAAAGACAGGAAGGGACCTACCAGAGACCACTCAGCTCATCAATGCAGGAGGCCCGGATCCTGTCTCTGCTGGAACCTCAACCTTAATGCCCCCCTGGAAATCACCCCAGGAGCTCAGTTAGTCCTGGTCTTGCCCACTCACGGGGAAGTAGGGCCTGTGTCGGGAGGGCCTTGAACAGTAAATAATGGGAAGAGTGAATGGAGAAGGTTCAGTAGCCACAAATCTCTTCAGAATTTTAAAGGGAGCTAGGGAATATTGACACAAATTAAATCCAATAAAACATTCATTTAATTAAACTTTAAATGATCCAAATATTTGCTGTTTGGTTAATATTTGTGTAGCTGACAGGAGTGGAATTACGATGGTTCTGTCAGAACACGCGCATTCTAATTTTGCATGAGTTTTTCCTGCGCGAAGCGAATGTGTTTGTACATACAAATGATGGGGAATGCAATCAGGGAATGTGTGGCAACCAGCTACCCTCACGGGGCAGGCTTCCAGCTCCCACTTGGATCTGTTTGCTTGTTTGTTTTTAACCCCATATTCCAGGCTCCTCCAGAATCTTTTCTAAAACTGTTTGAAAGATATGGTCTGGGGGCCACATGAAGGAGGGGATCGTACACTTCACATGGGTCCCAGAACCCTTGCCCACCCTCCACAAGAACTCCCAGCTACCCAGACCCTCTTCCATCTTGGAAGGCAGTAGTTCTCAGGCCTCAGGGTACCACAGAACCCCCTGGGACGCTCACCCCACCTGCTGAGAGTCTGTAGCAGCTACAGGCAGAGAGGCAGGACCCAAGTGATGGCAGGTGGTTTGGGAACCACACCTGAGAGGTAGGGCTCTAGGGCCCAAGGGAAACCCCGCCTCCTCCAAGGGCCCCTCTCTGTCCTCCCTGTTGGTCCTTCCCTTCTCCTGAGGGAGCTCAAGTACAGAGACAGTATAGGATCCTTTTGAAACTAACCTGACTTCTTCCCAAGCTCCACCTACCCCCTCCCCGGCTGGGTTCCTAGAGAAAGATGCAGCTAAACGCTCCCTCCATTGGACAGCCTAGTCCCAACTGACCACTTCAACAGTCCCTGTAAGAATGTTCTGTGTAAGAAAAATGCATCTCCATGTGTTCACCTCCCGGCTGCCCTCTTGGCTGGCTTCTGGGGGATCAGGGAAACAACTCAGCTGTCCTCTGCTGCCTCTGGTTTCTACTCAAAGACCTCCAGGTAACCCTGTCTGGGGACACTCAGGGCTAAGCTCGGCCCTGCTTATGCTGGTTTGAGCCAGCAGTCTAAAGCCAGGATGCTGCTCCCCACTCAAGCTGGGCCTCCCGTGGCCCCCACCCTGTCCCAGCTGCCACGAGTACCTCTTGAGGCTCAGGGCCCTGGTCTGGAGCCCAGTGTGGTCCTTGAGTGCAGAGGTCCAGAGAACCTCACCACCTAGTTAGTGGGCTCCCCGGAGCCCAAGGGGTTCTGGTTCACAGGTGGGTGGGAAATAAGCTATGGAGGGAGGGTGCAGCATCCTCCTAGAGCCCCCCCCCTTGAACCTCCTCCCTTACCCACCCATAGATCCCTTCTTATTTCCACAATCTTCTGGGACATGAGGAGCATTCCATACCCTTCCAGCTTCCAGAACAAAGCACCTGTCCATCATCCAGTGAGAAATACCTCTCCACTCAAGAACTCTGGGTTCTCTTCCCCAGAGTCGGCAGCATCTGAACAATTTCAGCAAATTCTTTTTCTCCCCGTAAAAAAAAAAAAAAAAATTCTTTTTCTTCCCCCCGTATCTCCAAAGCCTGGGATTTGCTGCAGAGAGGCTGGTACCTTCTCTCTCTTGCCCTGAGCAATAAGCCTCATGATTCAGAGGTGGGAGGGCAGCAAGCAGGACATGATTTAGGAGGGAACTTGAAATGCATCACTGTAATGTTTGTGAAATATTACGCCAGCTGCATCTGCATCCATCACTGGGTGTTTATCTTTCTTCACGTGGCTCCTTCACCGGGAGTCACATTTTTTCCTGTGTGGGATCGCCCCCTCCCCACTGGCCTCTTGGTTCTTCAGCTCCTTTATTCCATTTTCTCTGTCTTTTATCCAATAAGCATCGATGAAGCACCTAGTGGACCTCTTGCTCATCTTTGTGGACCCAGGGCTGGGCCACTAAACATTGGTGGATGAGGGAAGAAGGGCTTTGCTGCTCTAAATCTGACCTTGGGCACCTGCTTTGAGCTCACTATCCTGCAGTGCGGTGGACCTGAAGGCCTGCAGCTGCTCTCTCCTCCCCCACCCCACCCCACCCCCGCTCCCCCACACACTGGCAAGAGAGCTGAGCCCAGATGTGCTACCTGCAGTGGTTCTGCTGCCTGGTCACAGCTCACAAATGTCCCGCTGAGTTACAGAACTCAGCTCCTAACTCTGTGCTTTGTTCCAGGCTTTTTAGAGGACACACCTGTCACGATGGATCACCCATGTCCCAATAGAATAGTAAGAATAAACAGAGCTCTCGGCATTTTGGCCAGCATCCCAGAATATTCACAGACCCCCCAAAACCAGTCTGTCTCCCTCAGCTCATGCCACCTCTGGTTGGTGCGCCAGTCCCCTGGAGTGGGCAGATTTGGAGGAAGAAAGAAGGAGCCAGTCCTCTCAGTGGGCTGTGACTCTCCAGAAGCCTGATCTCATTTTTGCATTTGAACAGCCTGAGTTTGATTAATTTTTCATAAATTGTGAAAATTTTGAAAAGCAAATGATGGCAGGGAAATATTTTAGACCCTTCCCATTTGCCTGAGGAATGATCAATCTTAATGCCATTATCAAATGTGAAATAGCAAGAATTAATAATTTGGTCAGCCTGAAATACATTTCAAAAATTTAAAGGCCACAGTGCATGGTCACAGAACAAAAATCCAAATCCAAGTTTGGCAAATCCTCAGACAGAAACAGACCTTCAAAGGTCAGCCAGTTCATTCCCCAGACTTCAGACAGTGCAACCTTTAAATTGCCCTCAGATGGACGAGCTACCTGTCGGCTCACCCAGCAGACCTTGACTGCCCTTAGCAAGGCTCAGACTTCATTAGGCCAGGGGAGCTCTAAGCGGTGCACCCCACAGCTGGCACCCTGGTCTCTGCAAGATGGCCGTGTAGTCCTGGCTGCTAGAATTATTGGATCCACTCACAAATCCATGGCCCAGATGGTTCCCCTGCACGTTGGCTGGTTCCTGACCTGTTTTGACTCACAGAGCCTTTTTGACATTAGACATGAGTCATGGCTGTTCTTCCAGCAAAAGTGCTCCTCTGTACATTTACTAAGCAGGTTATAAACCATTGTCAGGGGCCTTGCAGCCCCTCTGGGCCACTGCCCCTGGGGAAACCCATGGCCATTCACCTTGGGTTGAGATTCCACACTTTGGGCCTCTACCTAACCATCTTCTCCTTTCCCTTTGCAGAAGTGGTTCAGCTCAGCCTCGCCCCAGAGGACAGAGTCAGTGTGACTACAGTGACGGTGGGACTGAGCACAGTGCTGACCTGTGCTATCCGTGGAGACCTGAGGCCACCAATTGTCTGGAAGCGCAACGGGCTCACCCTAAACTTCCTGGACTTGGAAGACATCAATGTAAGCTGCCTGGCACTTCCACTGAGCTCAAGGGTACTTCCCAAGAAAGTCAGCTGTGTAGCACACCATGTAACCGTGGCAGGCCAGAGGGTTTCTGTTGAATATCCCACGTCGGGTGACTTTCAGACCTATTGTCAGGCTAAAGGTGCCAGAAGAGCTAAGTCCCAGAGATAATAGAATGAGTGGCGGCCATCAGACAGGCAGCCATGCCCAGGTTGAGAAAAGGGTGCACTGACTAGGAGAGGAACAGCAGGTAGGTCAGGAGGCCCCAGGAGCCTACATTAGCAAAGACCTGGAGGAAGCCCTGGAATGGGCTGTGGAGAGCAGTGGACTGTGTGGCCTTTCACATCCCTCAGGTAGATGGGCCATGAGCCAACAGAGAGCAAAATCAAGCAGAAGGCCCTGGAGCAGGAGACAGAAGGTGGCTGGGGGCTTTAGGGGGTGGCTCTAGGCCCAACAGCTTGGTAGGTGTAGACAGCTGGATGTGGGAAAAAGGGTTGTCCCTGTGGAGGGCAGAGGTAAGCCATGGAGCTGGGCTGGCTGGAGGGCAGGTGTCAGGTGAGGAGGTAGAGGGAAACCAGGCCAGGCCAGAGGGACCTTCTTTCTTGGGCAAGGAAATGAGGGTTGATGACTTGAGTGGTACTTTTTGGCATAAGAGAGCAGCTAAGACCACTCAGCTAACTTGGCCAACAGCAGATGCTATGGAACCAGGAAGCTGAGTTGGAGGTCCCAGCCTCACCCATATCGACTTTGTGACTTTGAGTAATTCCTTAACCTACTGATTTTTTGATGAATTAATCTATAAGAAAAGCAGCATTAGCAGTACCGCCCTTTCATTGGACTTGAAGAAGTGGAATAATTCAAGTGTATTTATTGGTCTAGATTTGGCACAAGGACGATGTGACTTCCCAGAAGTTCATGGGAAAGCACAGTGATGTCACCCATGTAGTGAGCTGCCAGGACAGCTGATGGGTGTCGGGTGAAAATAATAGGAATACAATTTTTAGGCAGAAGAGGGGCTGCACTGGTCTCTGGCTCAGAGGAGCACAGCTGGACCACAGTGAGATGCTTGTGGAGAGTCGTTGGTCCCTGCTAAAATCAGTGAGGAGGTGGGGTACGGACTTAGTCAGAGGGAGCCAACCTGAGCTGTGTGGCCCCATGAGCACAGAGAACCAAGGAGTATCCCAAAAGCAGTCTAATTTAGGTTCCTTAGATGAAACACCATCCAGTCATCAACCCTGCCCCATAATGGAGTGAACCTCCCAACCCTAGGGCCATGCGGCATCATGCAGAGACTATAGTCAGCAACCTGCCAGCCACAAGGGATCAGCTAATCCCCATGACCTTGAAGGTCTTTCCAATGCTGAAGTTACTATGTGGGGTCAGACATCCAGCATGAATTATTGCAGGTACCACCAAAGTTGGGCCTGAGACTCTCTAGACCCTGGAGATCATGAGGGAAGCCAATGGAAATAGATCACCCTTCTGTAAAGTCCCTCCTGGTCAGAGCTGGCCAGGGAGTACCTTTTCTCTGCCATTGCCACACTGGGCAGGGTTGTTTTCTGTGATTCCCCACCCATTGGACATGCAGCCATCTCTGGGCACGCTCAACCTAGTGGGTATTGGATAGACAGATGCTGAGTGGGCAGAGTCCTTTGTCTTCTAGGCCTGAGATAACTAGGGCTTATCTGAGACCTTAGCAAGAAAGTTCAGTGTCCTATTTGTAAGAGTGTGCATGTGTGTGTGTGCGTATGTGTGTCTGAGTGTGTGTGCACATTGGGGTGCATGAGTTTGAGTATGCAGAATCTCTAGGTGGGGTGCAGCTTTTAAATGCATTTGGCCAGTAGTAATTGATTCAGTACTAGGACAGGGCCACCTGTGACTGTCAGAGTGTCCGTGTGCAATACTTGGTGCTCTATTTAAAGGCATCAGAAATAAAGGCTGAGGCAAAACTCCTCTTAATGTACTTGCCACAGTTAATTAAATTACTTTGAGTGTTTTTCCCCTCCCTCCAACTTGCCTCCAGCACCGACTCAATTGCATTTCTACTTTTCACAATAAGGTTAGCAATTTGGATAATCGTGGGTACAACCAAAGATTAATGGCCCCTCATTACCTCCCAGGAAACGCTGCTCATGGTTGAGTCAGTAGCCTGCAAATACACAGGAGCCCTGCACTTCTCAGGAATACCCACGTGAGGGTACAGGGCAGTACCTGCCCCGCAGGACTCCTCCTCTGACACATGCAGATGTACCATAAAACACACGCACCACGCACCTCCTCCTGCCTCAAGGAGAGAGGCAGTGCAGCCTGCTATGGAAGGGCACAGGCTCTGGGATCAAAGGAACCTGGGTTTAAATCTCAGCTCTGCCACTTTCTAGATAAGTAACTTAGCAAGATCTCTTGACCTGTCTTATCTTGATTCCCTCATCTGTGAAATGGGGAGAGATAGCTGCGCCTGACTTACAGGATTATAGTGAGGATAAAGGGAGAAGATACATGTAGAGTTTTTAGTATGTAATATTCCATAAACACTATATCACTCTCATTATTACTATTATTACCTCATTAATACTGTTGCTGCTGCTGCTACTGCTGCTGCTGCTGCAAAACAACATTTGCAACACCTTGTAGCCCGAGTCCCCATTAAGCAGCCAGCAGCAACCAAGGAAGCTCCCAGTCAGGCAGATGTGGCCCTTGGTGAAGCCCAGGGATGACAGCAATACCATCTATTAACCTTGATCCATCCAGGGAGAGAGACCAGCCACCTCCAGCAAACCCAGAGCAAATCTGGGGCAGCTGCTGGACTTCTCTGAGCCTCTGAAGAAATGGAGGTCATGGTGTCTCCTGGCTTGGGGAGTCTCAGACTGAGTATGCACGGGAAGCACCCAGCTCAGTGCCTGGAGCCCAGAAGGTATTCATCAGTGGCAGCCCCACTTGGGCCAGTGAAGGAAGTAGCCCTAGGAAGAAATCAGGCTGAAGAGAGCTAGATCCAGGGTCCTCAAGAATCATGGGGTATTTCTGAAGCAAGAATTAATCAAGGAAGCCAGGCACAGTGGCCCACAACTATAATCCCAGCAGCTTGTGAGCCTGAGATAGAAAGATCACAAGTTCAAGGCCAGCCTCAGCAACTTAAAGAGTTCCTAAGCAACTTAGGGAAACCCTATCTTAAAATAAAAAATTAAAAAGGCTGGGAATGTGGCTCAGTGGTTAAGGGTCCCTGGGTTCTATCCCAGGTACAAAAAAAAATTAATCAGGGGCAAACAGTCCAGGAGGGCACCCCTGGTGGAGCAGAGATTCCAGGATTGATGGGACTCCTAGAGTCCATTAGCCTGTGGTATCTCCCAGAAGAGATGAAGTACAATCACCCACGCTGTAATTACTGAGTGCCACACAAACACAGCTTCGAACAGGGGAAGCAGATCAGCCTTCAAAACCCGAGGCAGAGAGATTAGAGAGCACAAAGAGGTGTGGGCCTCCTTTCTTTGTCATTTGTATGAGACATTTTGATTGGCAACAAAATATTAATCACTTTTTCACGACTCCCTTAATGAGACGCTTTCATGGGCAACAAAATATTAATTTGTCTTGTCTTATCTGTTAAGAATTCTGGTAATGAATTCAGTCACAGAGCTATTACAGAATGCCATCCTAATGACACATGTAATTAAACTTTTCTGACTTGCAAACATCAAAGATGCCTTGAGCATCAGAATAATATTTGATCAGAAAGTAAATGGACCCCTCTAGCCCAAAGCAAGTAAGAGCACTCTGCTCACATTCTGCAGTGAGCCACATTGGTGTCAGAAGCACTTAGGAGTCACCTGATCCTGTGCATGCCTGTCCAGATGGTGAAGACTGGGAGACATTCTTTGGACTGATTCACTTCCTAAATGCTGCAGGACCACAGAGCCAAAACACTGTCCCCAGCCTCCAGTGGAACCAGACTTCCATGAATCCCTGTTCTAAGAGTGGTAAAAGGGGCTGTTTTAGCTGGGGCCTCAGAACATGAAAGGCCTAAGTGTTCACATAAAGAGTCGTGGTTGCCAGACACAATGCCTGTAATCCCAGAGGCTTGGGAGGCCAAGTCAGGAGGATCACAAGTTCGAGGACAGCCTGGGCAACTTAGCAAAACCCTGTCTCAAAATTTAAAAAATCAAAAGAGTTGGGGAGTGTGTGTGGGGGGGGGGGGGGTAACTTAATGGTAAACCACCCCTGGATTCAATTCTTAGTACCACCAAAAAAAAAAAGTGGGGGAAGGGTCTTTGTTGTTTGCCTGTGGCCAAAGGGAGCCACAGATTCTTGATCAGAAAATGACATGGTCAAATGTGGGGGCTACAGGTGTACCAAACTTCTTCCAGCATAAGATTAATTACTATAGGAAAGGCAGCGGAATACAACAGACACTAGTATGGCAATATGTAAATCAATGGATGTGTAACTGATGTGATTCTGCAATCTGTGTATGGGGTGAAGGTGGGAGTTCATAACCCACTTGAATCAAAGTGTGAAATATGATATGTCAAGAACTATGTAATGTTTTGAATAACCAACAATAAAAAATTAAAAAAAAAAAAGATTAAATACTGCCTCCAAGAAGGATTCTGAATAATGTGGGACTCAGATCTGAGGGGACCCTGCTGGTGCTCTTGGGTCATCCTTTTCTAACTTCCCCCAAGGCACCCAGGAGTGGAGCAGTGCCCAGGGTTCCCACAGGTAGTCAAGTCTCAGGTCACAGTGTCTTTGCCTTCTTAAGATTGTGGGAAGTCCAGCCTGGATCTGGTGTGCTTTGCCAGGATGCCCGAGCCACCGTGTGGCAGGAGGCTTTCACTTCACCCTGCCCAGCTTGCAGGAGAGAAACCAAAACCAGCACACAGCCTTAGGGACTCACAGAGCAAAGCTCCGAAAGACAGGCGCTCCCAGCAGAGGCAGCGGCCCAGGCCAGCGAGCTGCAGCCTCTCACAATGGCTCTCAGGATTATGACACTTCCTTCTGTTTGC